TCAATATCTACAATCAAAATTATTGATGACAATATTTAAAAGTGTTCATGTTGAAATATCCTCAAATTGAATTATGTCGTATTTTTTCTTAGTACTAGATCTACTAGCATTAAGTTTTGAAAGTGTGAATACTAATATTTGGACCATACTGATAGTTGTTAGATTATCTTTAATACCTTGAATTCCACACAAAAGACAGGATTCTTCACATCTTGGAATACCCCAACCACTTTCCTTACTCTCCTTCACTTGAAAGGCCCTAACAGTGAGGTAAGCTTCTCCCTGCTCAAATGGTTATGACAAGTATATTATCTTTCCCAAAAATTGTAGCTATTTGTAGGTACATAAATTATGAAGAAATCAATTACTTTACTCATTACTGTTCCTTTCGATTTTTACAGAAATATTTTTAATATGAAACATATTAGTAAGATTTAAATGATGCTTTTCACTGTATATAAATCTTGGTTTTTGACACAGTTTCCACTCAGTAAAAAAAGTTTTTCGATTCTCTCCAAAATACAATGAAAAGTTCAGCCAATAGAATCACGAACTGAGAGTCTGTCACTGTCAGTCTGTACATATGATTCGAAGACTGACAAAAAAAAAATCAACAAACAAGACTTTGTCATTAATATAATCATAAAATAATCTATTTTTTACTTACATTTATGGTCCCAAACTCTTTAATTCTCTAGTTTTCATTAATAAGACACAAACTGCCCTAACTGCGGCTATCAAAGCACATTTTCTGTCACTACGGGAAGCAGAATTCAGTCGCTAATTGAAGAACCAAACCGGAACGGACATACGGAATTCCGAATTGTTTGTTTTTTTCAAAGACGAATTTCTCATAAACCTACGCGCGCGGGTGACGTTAAACGTAGTTTTAATTTTAAACAGCCTTACAGAGAGGAATTCCATGTTTCCATGTTCTATCTTTAACTGTTCTCAATTACAAGATTTTTAGTGTCGCTAATTATTTTTTTATTTATACCTGAAATTAAGATATATTTAGATAATTAATAGAGAGTTATTGGAGTAAACTTGAAAACATTTCTGGTCTTGTATAAGTCCGCAGGTTTATACCATACAGTACCATGACATCGCAAGTGATTTATTTTGCCATATTTCAGACATTTTTTATGTAGTATTAGTTAATACATATTGCATGAAATCTTAGGGAACCACAAAATCAAATGAAAAAGATAAATGGGCAGTGGGTATTTTTAAAATCGACAAACAAGTATCGCTCTTGCTTCCCAGGAGTAATTTTACATGCTGTAAAAATAATGGAAAAGATCTAAGTAATTTGATTAAAAAGAGTCGATTTACTACCATAGGGTTAATGGCATGCCACTGAAACCAAATAGATGTGCTGGTAGGCTGGAAAAGCAGTTGAAGTAATGAATGAAATAATGCTAAATGCAAAAATGTGTGCTCATTACGAAGAGTCAAAAGGTCAAAGGTCGGAATGTCAAGGTCACTGTTAAAAAAATATTACGCAAACAACTTTTGTGACTAACACTGACAATAGCATAAGAGTAATTATTATATATACACAAATGATGCGTTGAATGTTGTTTGACCTGAGTCAAAAGATGTGTAATTAAGCTTATTTCATACCACTCTTTTTTGATCTTGACTTGATCTGATTTGTGAAATACGCTGATGGGCTCTTATGTGGTACCCATTAATTACTAATGGACTGGTCTAAATGAAGATTGGTTTTGAAAAAGAACAAATAATTATGCTGTTTTCAGCCAACTTCCCGTTCTTATCCAGATGGATGGTGGCTTTGCATGACAAGAGAAGTCTAGGAGAAGGATAGTGTTTCACTCCCAATCCTGGTGATTTCCAACAAGCTATCATTTTCTACCCTAGTGACTAAGGCAATTATTTTCCAGGTTCTTTTATAGGAGATTTCACTGGAGATGTCGGAACATCCCAGTGTATTGATGGCAGGGATAAATTGTCATGTTTAGTTCGCTCATTATGAAGAAACGGATTGTCAACCCTATTGAAGACTCATAGAAATTTATTTGCATGGAGGAAAATTTTTATTATTTTTACTGCCTGGGAAGCATCTGGGGCTGTAATTTGATCACTTAAGCAAGACTTTAAGCTTTCACCAGGGAAAAGAAATTATTTCTAATCATGATTAAAAATCTTTCATCAATAGTAATTAATTCAGAGCCTAAAGTTTGTAAGCTCAAAGATCTATGGGAAAAAAGCTATTATTTCTGGAGTGTACTTGATGCAGTGTTTGAATGTTATTCTTTGTGGGTAAAAAAAGAAAAAAAAGCTGAGTTTATCTTTCAATCTAATGAGATGGAATTGTTTCAAATTGAGCATCATCTGTGTTCTTATGGTCAGCGGAGCGTGCCTATTGATTAGAACACCAAATGAGTACTTGATAGTAATGAGATCCCCTGATAAGAATGATGTCATTTGTCAAGTATGAGTCGTCAAATCTATTGATATGACTTCGTATTGAATATTCTATGATAATTTTTTCCTTCATCTCAAATTTTCCTATCTCCATTTCAAATCAAACATTACTCACACAAAAAGTATTAGTAGGCTTTTAGTTGTAGCAAATTTGCTGTTACTCATTGTTTTTATGCCCCCATTTTTACCAGACTAGCCATGCAGTGTTAGTACTATCACGCATGGTACATAATTGCTTATCTGCCACCAGCCTGGTGTGGAAGTGCCATTTGGTTTGCAAAATGGAATGAATTGCTTCACTTGCTTCCATTTGTGATGGTTATCTGTTGATTCCATCAAGCTTTACTCACTCCAAGATTACCTCATAAGTACAGGACCGTATATGTTAAGTGCAGACAGCCAGCCTCAGTATTGACTTCTAAGTTAAAAAGTTAATGTGATGTTTGTCAACAAGGCCCTCTTGTGTGTTAAGTTGGTCAGTGCAGTTTTATTGATCTGTGAAACAATTAGAAGACTTAGATGTTAGTACAGAGATGTTTAATCAACAAACAGGAAGGTCACTGATGTAAACAAGCTCATTTTTTTCTGTTCCTCATTCAACTCAGCAGTGGATGATTGATCCTTGCTAGGAGTGCAGGGGGTAGTGCTGTGAGGCACTAGTGCTTATTTTGTAGGCAGCTTCCTACTTCTGAAGTTAGTTTTGGTGTAGCATTGCTTTAGAAAGTTCACTTTACACTTAATGACTTGCCTAGAAAATGAGCAAAGAAAAATGAAATTAAAAAGTAGTCACAAATCAGACATTTGCTGTAAGCTAAGCTGATTTGATTTTTGAGACTATGAAATTCCCATTAAAGAAACTATACCAAACCCACCATCCCCGCCCCCCCCCCCCCAAAAAAAAAAAAAAAAACATCCTTGGTCTCATTCTGCATCATAAACTGAAATTTAGAAAAGTCAGGCACTTCCCCCTTAAATTTGGGCACAACCTCTCCAGTTATTATGTGGAAATCATCTTATTTGTTTTTTCAAGATATAAAGAGATACAAAAAATGGATAAAAATTGGACTTTAATTCTCCCTCAATGAGAAATTCCACTGTGATAAGACAAGGAAATTATTTTAGTTTGAGCAAATCTTGTCCACCAGGTCATGGAGGTCATTACTTTTTTTTAATCCTTTGAAATATTTTTTCAGTTGTATTACCTGTAGGATTAAACTATCACAGAATATTGACAGGCTGATTTCTATTATATAATCACAATAGATTTTTAGTAGAAATAGTTTGTCTGTGTGTTGTTGAAATAATTTTTGACATGTTAAGGTCAAAATCTTAAATTTACCTTCAAGGTCATTTATGTAATATGCAATTTTAAAGGTCATGGCCATGATGCCAAAATAAACTGAATTAAACGGAAACACAATTTAATTGCTAAAACGTAGATTATTATATCAGAATTAGAACATTGTTATATCAGATTATGAACCGTATATTGTCCCTGATTAGTGTTATGCAATAATGTGTAAACACTCAAATATATTTCACGCAGAATATGCACGTCATTACATGAGGAGTTTTTATCAACTCAGTAGCATATGGTCTGTCAGTGCTGAATGCAGGTGCGTAATTTATCAACTACATCTCACTACCTAATGTATTTTGTTCGCATGTAATATTTTAGCCCTAATATCATATGTAGCATTGATGTAACGGCATCATTTGCAGTGATAATGCGATATACCTGAACTTCAAATATAAATTGGCAGGGCTGCTGTGCAATTTTAATTTCATTAGAAGAAAAATATTGACAAGGCCTTGTTCTCTTGGGGACAATATTTGTATCTCCAAGAAATATTTTGCGTTTTCTAGAACTAATAAAAGTAGTTGTGGTTTAATCCATATTCAATCAGTGTGCAGGAAGACTTCTTTGATATTGCCAATCTTACATCCTGAATAGGTTTGTCTTGTCCTATTATTTCCCAGCTATTTTCGTTATATGTTTTCAATTAAGCATATTTTTGATGCCCCACCATGAATATGCGTTATAGTGTTTGTCATATGCGTCTTTTATTTCTTCTATTTTTCCATCCTCCTTCTGTCTATCCATCATTATGCATTCAGTCCAGTTGCATGTGAAAAATTTAAAATGGAGCAAGCTTATTAAAAAAATTAAATTTTATGCAAACCTCCTTTAAATTTTTGTTAAAATAAATTTTAAGATAAGCAACCAGCAGTGGGCTAATGGGTAATAAAAAGTTAATAATAATAAGTTAACACCAGTATTAAAGGTGCAACAAACAATAATAGGTTAACAAACAATATATGGTTTAAAAATATCAGGGTGCCTTGTAAACATTAATAGGTTTACATACAATAATCGGTTAAGAAACATAACTGAAAAAATATGTTTAATTTGATTTATATTCTTTATCTAATAATCAGGATATAAAACCTTTTTCTATAATGATGAAGTTTTCTTGGTAAACTCCCGTTCCATGCAGATGCTTAATTAATTCAAATGCCTAGTTCTAAATATTTATTTTTCATTTCAGCAAGGAGTTTATGTGTAATTTCTTGGATAATTTAGAATGGATCAAACATTGAAAATTTTACCAAAGCAATAGGTGAGTATTTATAAATATCAAATATTTATTGAAATATGAAGTAAGGGAGAGAAAGAGAGAAATGGAATAGGATTTTCTGTCCTCTCTATGACTCTATGGTTACATCAGTGACCAAGAGCTGATCAGTGCAGAATTACACTGACCCCTGGAATGTGTGATGTCTGCTTATCATAGTCCACCATATGTTCCATCTAAATGACCAAATAAATATTTGTAACCAAGAAATTCGGGACATGGATTGGTTTGATGTGTAATTATAGGTGAAAGTCACAAGAAGTTCAAAAAAGATGCTGGCCCTCAACTTTTTGAAGAGTTTTGTTAGGATTTTTATTGGGTGTTGCTGCTGCAATATTTCGGTGAGAAAATGATAAATCAATAATAGTTAGCACCGAAGTAGTTTGGGTTGTGCGTCTTTCAATAAAGTAAATATTAGTATCAAGTACATGATTATTGGTTCTCATCTGAAATCTGAAAATTTCACTTTGAAGTGTGAGTTTCTTAAGAGATTAAACAAAAATTGGACAAATTAGAGAGAGAGTGTGTGTGTGTATTTTCTGATTGTTTGTATTGTCTGATACACAAGCTGACAAATCGACCGCTTGACAATAACGCAGGGACGGTGATATTGTTTGATTTAGGGGTCATGACAGTTGGCAAAAGAAGGGGCTGAAGTGACCTGCTATTACCCTTTTGTTGGGACTGACCAAACACGAAATCCCCAGACCAAGATAACATGTAAAATTCACCAAGTTATCAGGTTAACTTGGAAGAGGAACCCCCCTTTGACTCTGAATTGAAAGTTTAAGGTCTGGGTCATTCACTTGAAGATTTTTATATGGAAATTTGACCTGGTCAATCTCTTGATACTGGACGGTTATTCTTAGATTTGTTATATCCTTTCCTAAGTTCAGACCAGTCATCTGAACTTTACAAACCAATTATTTAACAAATATCAAGATTTAACCCCATTTTCTGATGCTTATTTTGGAGGGTTCTGTATCTGTGGTACCTTTGCGGTAGGGGGAATGGTCATTTTTCTACTTACTGAGGTCGCATATACCATGTCTGTGTAAATATTATGTCTATCTTAGCTTGACCCTGGTCAATTTAAAACTGGGCACATAAGTTTTTGTAATACACTCAACTTTAAAGAAAAGCAAAGTGTTGCCAGTAAAGAAGAATGTTGATTTAAAAAGCAAGATTTCATGTTTAAGGCATAATGGTATTCAAATATGTTTTGTAATTGATAATTTGAAGTAAATTTATAGAACTCTCAGATTTTATTAGATACTGTTGACAAAAATATAGCATAGATTTGCCGTGAGAAATTAACTGTTGTATGTATATAACATCCAGTGTTCCTAATGGCTATATAAGTATTAGGATTGTATATAATTATGAAGACACCAGTCAAGATTTATGAACTAGCTGAAAGATTTTTTTCTACAGTAAATGAGCTATAGTCGAGATTATGATTTCACTGTCATTATATTGATTTGCTAAAGATTACCACAATGTTACCGGTTCTTATTTTGTTGTTCAAGATGAAAATGGCAAAGCTAATTTTGGAGTATATTATCATCATTTTCAACATCTCATCAAAATTTGAACCATAAATCTTCTGATAGTATAGGGTACATTTAGGTGCAGCACAATTCCTAATTCTTTAATGCATTTGTATTTTACTAAAAGGTATCTTATGCTATCTGAAGATTCATGGTTTTTATAGGCAATAGTGTTGAGTATTAAAGATGTTTCACTAGTACAGTACAGGCAACGCGGATCCCGTATTTCCCGCGTCCCCGCCGCGGTATAATCACAACGCGGTATTTGGCCAGGTAGACAGGTAAACCGCGTTCCCTCCGCGGGAAATTCATCACTTACCTGTCCCCGCCGCGGTTAAATCATCGATCAATTACTGACAATTAGTATCGTAAACAAACGGGAGTTATCTCCCCGAATTGAAATTTGTGAGTTTTCCCTGTAACAAAAAAAAAAAAAAAAAACAAAACAAAAAACAAACAAACAAAAACAAACAAACAAAAAAAAAACCCGTGTGTTTATTAATAAATTTTGCTATGAATAGAATTTAAACTAAGAAAAAATAAGTTTATTTTTTTTTCTAAAATTACATATCAATCTTTGATATTGAATAGAAAATTTCATTAAATTGTTACGTCTTTGCAATTGCAATTATTTTATGTTATTAAGAATCTATCAAGAAACAAAATTAAATACTAGAAATTTCAATAAGTTTTTTTTATCTTCATATTATATGCAAACTGTAATAAATGTTGAACTCAGACTGTTTAACTTTCGATGAACGATTTTCAGCATTCATTTGAAAAAAAAGATGTACATCTTTTAAAAAATGTACATCTTCATATTGTTTATCAATTAATTTCGATTTATTGTATATAAAATGTACAGGCTTTTTCTTAAAGTGTCAAATTACCGGAAAACATCCGATGACGAGCATTTGCAGTTACATGTAGTGGGCACATGAACTTTAATTTTCTTTATCCAAGATATCAAGAAAAAGTTCTATTCTTCTTTATTTCTCATCGTTTATGTTCTGTTCCCAAATTAAGTTAATTTAAATAATTAATTTTCTTTAATGTATTTCCCTCTTTTATATAAATGTGCAGGCATTTTTCTCAAATTGTCAAATGAGCGGAAAGCATTCGATGACGAGAGTTAACTTTGAGCACGTGAACTTTATACAAGAGATCAAGAAAAAATATCGTTTTTCACCTTCACATTAACATGTTTTACTTTTTAATACAATGTCTTTCTTTTTAATTTTAATACTTCTCGATTTTCGTGTTCAATAGATAAGATAGGATGTGCAGGTGTAATGATAAACTTCACAGACGAAATTATAGTTTATATTAAAAAATATTCAATGCAAAAATTCATATATTTTTGTTTTCTTTGACAAATTCTGTTTCTTTGTGTATTAAGCATTAGCCGCGATCATTTCCTGTGTATAGGGATTAGCAGTGCCTGAGCAGGAAACGACATGCCCTGGGGGTTTCACACCTGTCTTAGAGTATACCTTGGGTAACGCTCGCTGGATGTGCACATCGTTGTCTAGCCATTCAACAACACATTTGATTCATTGTTTCATTATTATTTCATCGATATCATTTTCAGATGCGATATTAGCCTTGGAATTTGTGTCAGATTATTGTTGCTTTTCTTAAACGGAGTGTATAAAAAGAATAAAGTAAAAAAAAATTAAAACAAATTAATGAAGTATTTGATATTAATTAAATCAAATAATGATCCATTACTATGTTATTTCGTGTCTGTTTATATCTGTACCAGTTAGAAGATTGAGAGAGAGAGGGAGAGAGAGGAGAGAGAGAGAGAGAGAGAGAGAAGAAAAATATCACAATATTAAGGCACGTGCATGATCGTTTTTCCTCCTTTTTGATCAGTATATCAATTTCTTAAGTCTAGCGAATAAAACTACCGCTGATTTAACAGTTTATTGACCATTTGTCTAAGTTTTATTGTTATTTATCTAGAGACTTGTTTATGATCCACTTTCTTCTTTCGTTTAGCATATGTACATTTGAATTACGTCCCTTTTTGTCGCCAGATTACAACGACAGATTTTGGTGGTAAAATAAAATGTATTTTTGTTATAAAATTTGATTAAGAAAAGCAAAGTATATAAAAATTGTCGAATTATTGAAAATTTTATTTGAAACAAAAAATTTAAAAAGGATTCTGTCTGCAACAAAAACATTCTTTATTTCATGCATTTCAATTCATGAGCTACACATGAAAAAAAAAAAACGGCTTCGTTTTACAATGTCGTAGGAAAACGCATACAGGTAATACATTCAGGTAACTTCCTGTGTATATAGGTAGTATGTATACTAGACAGCGTCGTTCCCTCGGGTCTTCTCATCCGCTTCGAGTAAGCCCCACTCCACACCAAACTTACCTGAGGAAAACCGAACGGTTACACAGACATCTGAAAACTTGAAGCATGGCAACTTGCTGATTGAAATAAGTTAATTTCTGTGTTGTGTGTTCAAATATTTTAAGGGCCCATATTTATGTTCCCCAAACGAAGTTGGGGAACATATTGTTTTTACTCTGTTTTTTATTATTATTATTTTTCTTCTTCTTCCTGGGTACTTTTTTGTCCGCGAGTGATCTTGTAAACTGTTCATCCGAAGTAGGTAAAACCTTTTTAGGGTTAGTATACATGTTATGTAGATTTGCGGAATCAAGGTCATTTTCCGCGCACGTGCTTGCAAGAGCGTGCACGTGCAACACGTGAAATGACCAGTATAATAGATATAGCCGTATCTTTTCTATTTTTTGACTATTTGCTTTGAAACTCATAATATAAGTATATATTAGTTGTATATGCATAATGACATGTTCCTCGCGCACGTGCTTGCAAGAGCGCGCACGTGTAACACGTGAAATGACTAATATAATAGATGTAGCCGCAACTTTTCTATTTCTTGATGAAATGCTTTGAAACTCATAATATAAGGATATATTAGTAGTATAGACATGATGACATGATCAAAATAGCAAGATCTCACGCGCATGCACGTGCGCTTCGCTCTGATTGGCTGAAACTAAAGTCTCAATATTTTTCATGTTTCTTGTCATAATCTTTTGAAATTTTGAACAAAGTCTTAAATTATGAAGATCTACAGCATGATATATAAAAATTTTCATGAAAGCATGCGCATGCGTGCGTGCTGCAATCTGATTGGCTGAAACTTTAAATGGCTATATCTCCTTTGTTTTTCGACGAAATGCTTTGAAATTTAAAACATAGTCATGCAGTAGGATATCCTACAATACGATATAGAAAGAAAATCATGAAATCACGCGCATGCACGTGTGCTGCAATTTGATTGGCTGAAACTTTAAATGGCTATATCTATTTTGTTTTTTAACGAAATGTTTGGAATTTTAAATATAGTCATTCATTAAGATATCCTTCAATACGATTAAGATAA